AATGACCTTTCTTTATTAGATTTAAACGAGAATTTGACTTTTAATAGGACATAATGGAGAAAAATGATTCATGTAGCCGACCTCATGTAGTGGGATAAAGGCTTGTTGTTGTATTTTCTTGAAAAGTATTTCAATAAAAATTTATTAAAGTAAAAAAAAATGTTTTAAAAACCAATAAAAAAATACTCCAAATGAAAAATAAGTCAATTTGAGGCTCCAAATGGCATTATGTGCTGCACTAATTCTAATGCATTTTGTTAATTTTGTGACATAAATTTTGATAACTATTTAATAAAAGAATCAGAATTAACAGTTGTAGCTATTTGATAGAAAATCCCTATGCCATCCATATGAGTGATTTAATAAATATTTTGTAAAATATTTTTTAAATTAAATAAATGGATGCCTATTTAATAGCTGTTCTTGTGATCTTATTAAATATTTTGTATATCATTCTATTTAATGATGAGATTGTTTGGAAATAGATTCTGATAATTTTTTTTTTCAATATAATTGCAGTTTTTTTTATTTAAAAAGAAAAAGTCTGAATGATAGCAATCCAAAAGACTCAAAATCTGTTTCGGGCTGCTATAGATTTAATTGTAAAGTTATTGTTGAAAAATCAATTTAACAATTCTGGTTGAAAAAAATATTTTTTCTTCATATTTTGAAAAAATAATGAGAAAGTAATAAGAAAATACCAGCCAAATAAAATTATAATTATTATCTAAAAAATAAAGCATTGAAAAAATTATCCCCCTTATTTTTGCATTGATACTGGTTGATAAATAGTATAAATTAGGGAAAAAAATTAAATTAGTAAAATTTTGTTATATATATATATATAAGTTAATATTGAGCGTCAACCAGTATGGCAAATGAAAATATATTTTTGTATTTTATCTCGATTGTGAACATTACAAGTCTAATATTCGTTCAGGCTATTCACCCGAATAACAACCGAACTTCATCCTCACAATTGTCGGCCTTTTCAGATCAGAAAGAATATAAATAAGATATTCTTTTTTGATGTTAGAAATAGAGTTTGGTTGGAGATAAATTATTATTTTATATGATTGTTACTATATTTTGAAATAGAAAATAGATTTTGCAGTTGGAGATGTCCTAAGTCTTATAAACTTAGGCTTTGTTTGGGACAACTTTCATACTGCTTTTTAAAATGACTTTCTGATATAAAATTTTTAATTCAAAATATTTTTTACTAGAAAACTGTTTTATAAAATAGTAAAAAAGCCGCCCCAAACGAAGCCTAATATGAAGCCTTAGGTTTCGTGTGGGACGACTTTCTTACTGTTTTTTTTCTGATATAAGATTTTTAAATTTAAAAAAAAATTGTACTATAAAATTATTTTAAAAAATAATAAGAAAGATATCTCAAATAAAATCTGAATATAGTAAGCATATTCATTAACAGCTTGAGCAAGCATGATGAAATGATCTTTACGCGATCACGTGGATCTTTGATGGACTGTCCAAGCAAAGGATGTTCGAAAGCTTTTTAAAAAATAATTAGAAAATAATTTTTTAGCATAATTTTTTTTAAAAAAACTGCAAAAAAATAGTGACCCTTCCAAGGTTAACATTATACAATAGGATAATGAGTTGACATCATCATTAGCAAATGTATTGATCAATGTATCCAAAGAGTATAACAATATCAATCATAGAGAAGATGGCATCATTTTAGATCACAATTCACAAGAGAGTCGTAGGTTTTGCTTGGGACGACTTTCTTGCTGCTTCTTAAAACAACTTTTTTGTATAAAAATTTTTTGAAAGCAACAAAAAAGTAATTATCAAAGCTATCCCAAACAAAGCCCAAGTCAAAGAAGGATAATTGTTGCTTATGTTTTATAACATAAACTAAAATGAGCATTTGGCATGACACAACCCGAAAATCAGACTCGACCCGAAAACCCGATTTGAATCCGACTCAAATATTTTGGGTTAGGGTCAACTCATTTCGTAAACAAGTCGGTTTCGAGTTCCTAGATTTGACACATTTGAAAAAAATGAGTCAGGTTCGGGTTGACCTAGAAACTTGTTTGAAATGAATTGCCCACGTGTCGCATCCGAGTTGCCAGTGTGTCATGTTTATTGCCAATCGTCTCGTCCGTCGCATCGACTATCCATTGCCAGCCTGCACATCACGTCTACTGCCCATTGGCCCTGATGTCGGTGCGTTGTGTCGACAACCCGGCCGTCATGCCGTCCTACGTTTGCCTTCCCACAATGCCGTCCAGCCAAATCGGGTCAGGTCAACCTGAAAATCAGACGCATCAGGTTCGGGTCTGCACTTCAAACCCGTTTACATAACCGAGTCAGGTTATGGTCAACATGTTGAACTCGGGTCAATTCCGGCTCAACCCGAACCCGACTCGAAACTCAATTTTGACACCCCTAATCAACAGCACCAAACATGCATGGCCTTTATCATTATGGAGCTTCTTATATACATCAACATCCCCTACAACTATTTTAAGATCTTTTGAGTGTTAAAACTTTACAATTTTGATGTCAATAGATTCAAAATGTTGAGCCAATCCTCTTTATGGGGCGTCAAAATCACTATGAACTTCTCTCTCTCTCTTATTATTATTATTATTATTATTATTGAGGTCACCGACATAGAGAGGAAGGAAGGTGGAACAAGTCACATGGAGGGCAATGAGACAGTCATTAAAAAAAAGCATCAAGACATAACATAAAAAATGTCTCCCATCTTTCTTAAAAACCTAAAATAAATATCAAGAAAATGAATGAAGCCATAATGCCTTGAATTCATATAAAGGCAAGATTGCTTTATGGCAATTCTTTCCTGTTCTTATGTCTTGGAATCCATTTCTCACCAGCTATAAGACAACCCACATGTGTTCCATTTAATACATCAAGGACAAAATATAGTTGTGAGAATTCATTCCAAATTTTCTGTTCACAAGTAAAAGAGATGTTAAAGTTGCTCTTTTCATGTGAATTGGAGTCCTTGTGCCAAACCATGCAGCAAAATAAATAAGAAACTAAAAAAATAAAATAAAAACTCCGGAATTTAACGTGAAAAAAAAATTAAAATGAGAAGCCAACACAAAGTCTCACCACACTAAGGGGCTGTTTGGTAGCAGGATTTAGGCCGGATTTGAGGCGGATTTGAGCGAAATCCAGCCAAAGGGCCTAAAATGCAAAACCAAATCTCACGGCAAGTGAAATCCGGGATAGACGGAAAATTCCGCCGATTCGAGCGAAATCCGGGATTTCGGAAATCCTGTATTTTGCGGGATTTCCGAAATCCAGGCGCTAGAGTAAGAGCCCCTTGCATAAATCCTGCTTTATAGCCAAACAGTCACACATGATTTAATTGGATTTATCATAAATGTTACCAAACAGTTTTCAGGATTTAACCCCTCAGGATTTCGTAAATCCGGGATTTGGAGGATTTACGAAATCCTACTTAAATGAAATCCTACATTCTACCAAACAGCCCCTAAGAAATTCACTGAAAAAATGACAGAAATTATACAAATGTCTTCTCACTCTCTATATCTCTCTTCACTTCAAATTACAATCTTCAAATAAAATAGATTAAAACAATACACTAATTTCATCAAGAGACAAAACCCTTCAAGTGAATAAGAAGTCTAACTCGAAGTGTCGCGGTGCTATAATCTAGAGTGCCACAATGCTCCACCACTCTTTGTCCCTGAGTTTACCCTGTAGTGTCGTAGAGTTGCAACCTACAACACAGTGGCACTCCAATTTATAGCACTGTGGCACTCTGCTCTTTACCTCTAACCTAAGACTACAACATTGTAGCGCTTTAATTTACAGTGGTGCAACGCTGTACACTAAAGATGTACATTGATTAAAGAACCGGATTCCACAAATTCTAACACAAATAACTAAAAATGCCTTAATTTAAGCATCCTAGAACAGAGCAGATTGACTAAATTCAATTAAAGAATGCTTCTGATTTGTTTATGCAATAAGAGTTGAGGTTGAGACTTAACAAGCACAATTATTTAAGAGACAAAAGCCCTTCACACGTACTTTGGGAATAAGAGCCTCAATATTTTACTATGATATGATTCCAACTTGTGTACCTTTCAGCAAACTTAATATACTTTATTGCCTTGCAGTAGCAGCAGTAACACGAACTTCTGAACTTTATTAATAGATTGCTAAACATAGCAGGAGAAATCTAAATGAGGGGAAACAAGATAATAAGGGCGATTCACATGCCATGAATGCAAATTTGCTATGTGAAAACTCCATAGAAGTATCAAGGCCTACATAAATACATGACTTCCATTTGAGATTCACAGACCTATCAACTTTGAATTACTGAAGATTTAGGCTCCATTTGGGACGACTTTGTTTCTGTTTCTTAAAGTAGATTTTTTAGTAAAAAAAAATAAAAATTTTATATAAAAAGTTGTTTTAAGAAGCAATAAGAAAACCGTTCCAAAAAAAACCTTAATAACTCACACCATAGTTGATAGAACTGGATAAAAAAATAAGGATTCGTAAAGCCGACCCCGGCCAATGGTGATGATCATGATGATATTCACAAATCTACCAGGTAGCACATAATTGAATTATTCTAGTACATTCAAGCTTGTCTTCATAGGCAGGTACACTCGTTAAACTGTAAGTGAAATTCCAAGTGAACATCAAAATTTTATGGGGAAAAAAATAGAAGATTTGAAAGAATCTGAAGCATCTAACAGATCTGAGAATAATTATATCTACACCACCAAAGCTTGCTTCTAAATTCACCCTTTCTTACCTTCATTGAATGTAATGGATCGATAGCTCCATCCACCCTTCTGCTTGTAAAAACTCCTTCCATGCCAATATTCACCACATGTTCAACTTACTCAACCTGCTCACCTATCAGATCAAGCCCAACCAACAGAAAAGAGATACCTTGAAAGAGCAAGAAGTAGAAATGCACGCCTTGAGCCGAGAGCAAGCTGCGAGCCGCAGCAGTTAGAAGAAGAAAGGCCAAGGCGAGCTCTTTCCGATAGATTCTATTGTGCTTCTTCTTTGGTTGTTTCTTCAGCTTTGTTGCTACTTCATTGGTGATGATGGAGTCGAGATCAGGAACAGAATTGGCACGATGGAGTTTTGGATCCTTCCCAGACAAGGCTGCAAGGTCGCCCTCAGAAGAACGACCAGATTTCTTAGTAACTACCCATTCGTAAGCACTACCGAGCTGAAAAAGGCCGGAGATCATGGCATTGAACTTTGTGACTGACATAGTGTTCTCAAACAGGAGGTAGGGGACAATGAACGGGAAAGATCTCGGAGCAGGGAGGATGTTTAGGAAGGACATTGTAGCTGGGATGTAGCAGACGACCCAGGTAGGGAGTTCAGCTTCAGGCACAAACATCGTCATGGGGAGAATGATGCAGAACAAGGTGAATGAATAGAATGGCAGGATGAGCTTCCGGAGGAGAAAAAAGAGGAAGATGAGGTTGGCCTTCTTCCAGAATGCAATCTGCATTATATCAAGTTCATCACATATGATTAGTACGAACTGTAAGGCAACAAAGACTGATGAAAAATGCATGCTGAAGAGAGTTGAATGTGTTTCAGTTTTAGTTCAAAATACAATATTTCAAAATTCAAAATCAGTCGGATTGCAAAATTTTCATACTAGCTTGATAGAGTTTCAATAGTTTTGCCAACTTCAAAATTCAGTGTCCATTGTAGTTTCAGTTATTACCTTTTTATCATATAAAATATTACAAAAGATAACTTTTAAGCAATTAGATAAAAAAGAGTATCCACATTAGAAGTTTCATTCAAAATATAGGAGTTTCAACTTTAAACTATACTGATACAACTGTTTTTGAAAAAAGTAAAATATATTAAAGAGCTTTAGATTGGCTTCAATACAGCAACAACAACATCAAGCCTTTGTCCCATTACGTGGGGTCGGCTATATGAATCCTTTTTCTCCATTGTGTCATATTAAAAGTCAAATTCTTGTTTAAATCTAATAAAGAGAGATCATTTCTAATATTTTCTAACAAAGTCTTTTTAGGTCTACCTCTACCTTTCTTAATGTAAGTCAAATCTAATACATTTACTTTCCTAACCAGGCCATCATAAGGCCGTCATTTTATATGACCAAACCATCTAAGGCGACTCTCTATAATCTTATCTTCCACTTGCGCTACTCCAACCTTTTCATAAGAGTTCAAAAAAGGCCACCATGCTAACATAGGTATTTCATCATCAGGACTAGGTTACATACAATCTCAAAGAATTCAGCATTATCGACAGCAAAAGATGAGTATCTAGGATGAGAAAACCAGTAAAAATGAAATGGAGGTGCAAGTTAAACCAATTTAAGCTTCAGTGCATTCCGCATTCAAGCCAAAATGGAACAGATGAGTAAAAAAGGTATTTTGTTCAGCAAGATGGACCAGAACTTAGCAATAGCTGTGAGTTAAATAAAAAATCCTTAAAAAAGATGGTGGTTGCCATAATTAGCAGGAAAATAAAGGTGTAGAAAGTGATATGAGACAACAAACATGCCTGTGGCTTTCAGTATTCAGATGACAAGACACTCACACACGTCTATATTTATTTAGATCCTTCATTAAGTTTTCATCAATGGTAATTCAACCAATTATCAACGGATAGAGACAACAAACTTACTATTTTGTTCCTGTTATTTATGGTTTTCCGCAATTAGGTATCAATTTATGCAGAAACCAACTGAATATATAAGAAAAGTAGAAAAACTAAAAGCAGAAAGTTTATTTTAAGAACAGTTCATCCAAAAGAATCGGTCAGATTTTGTAAGAGCTTAAACAATAAACACCAGTTAGAAACTGACAAAAACCTCTAAATAGCTACTTTTATAATTAGAAAACCATCATTGAGACATTTGTTTGGCACCAAGATTCTACTAACCAGCCAAATGGTTCTCGGTTAAAATGGCCATGGAAAAGGTAAGATTTAAATACATACCACTTTATTTCATGCTATTTATATATCTAACACAAAAAACATTAATATTATATGCTTACCACCCATAGAACAAATTTGAGTTCATGGAATGAAATATTAAAATTTATAGGATGGTATGAATGGTACAAATGAATTATAAGAGTGATATATTTGATAATAAAGTTGTGTATGGATGGTAGACATATAATATTAATGTTTTGAGTGTTAGATATGTAAATAGCATGAAATGAAGTGGTATGTCTGTAAATTTCCCTAAAAAGAAACAAAGAAGAGTTTTTTGGAGACATTTAGGCCAATTAAGGCAAAATCATTAAGACCCGAACCTAATACCTCTTGGCTTGGCTGGTAGCCAAAGCTCCCAACCAACAGACCAAGGTGAGCTGCGTTAAAGTTGAAAAATAGGTCTAGAAGGTTCACAGCTGTCATAAAAAAATAAATGAAATTTTAAATTGGAAATTTTCAAAATGCATACCTTGGATCTGATAATATCTGGCAAACAAAGCCTGAACAACTGCATTGGCCCGGAATGCCACCGGTGCTGCTGCTTACGGTAAGCTTCAAAGGATTCTGGCAATTCACACTGACACTGCAAAAGGAAATAATTTGAAGCAAGATTCAAATCCCTAAACCCTAAACACTTAAAAATGCTAACAAATTATGCAAAGAAACACATGAGTTGTACTGATACCTCTACATCATTCAAGAAGATAAACTTCCAACCCTTGAGATGCGCGCGAACTGCAATGTCCATGTCCTCAACGGTTGTCCTCTCCAGCCATCCACCGACATCCTCCAATGCTTTAATTCTCCAAACTCCAGCAGTTCCATTGAACCCAAAAAAGTTGAGAAAAATCCCATTCACCTGCTGCTCCACCTCAAAATGGAAGCAAAGATTGATGTTTTGAAGCCTGGTCAACAAGTTCTCATCTTTGTTAATAAAAGACCACCTGGCTTGTACTAATGCGAGCTCGTCATTATCCTGAAAATCACACCAGCAGAATTTTCAGCTGAGGAAGATTTCAACCCAAACGACAAAGCAAATGGCAAGAAGTTATCGAACCTTGAAATGAGGAACCGTTCGCTTCAAGAAATCCGGAGTGGGTTGGAAGTCGGCATCAAAGATGGCGACGAATTCATAGTCCCTCACATAACTACAAGTCATAGCTGATTTTAAATTTCCGGCTTTGTAGCCATCTCTGATGACCCGGTGGCGGTAGATGATTCGAACGCCAGTTTGTTCCCACTTTTCCACCTCCTCCCTAATGAGGGCCTGTGTTATCAGATCATCAGAATCATCCAAAACCTGGATGACCATGTTCGATTTCGGCCAATCAAGGTTACAAACTGCAGCGATAGATTGCTGGTAAACCTACAAATGGAGAGAGCCAAGGTGAACAATTCTAAAGAAAGAAATATTCAATGCACATTTTGTAAATTTTGTCTTTTGCAAGCCTACCTCCCTCTCATTGCACATGGGTATCTGGATGAGAACCATGGGGATGTATTTCCCTGCTTCGACGTCTTCTTTAATGGGTTTGGTAACAGGTTTGATCCCCTTGAAGCGGATCCAGAAGCAGCCGAGGCAGAGAACGAGGCGGTCGGCGCTTTGAATCAGGAAGAGGATGACACAGGCGTTGGCGAGGAACTGAAGAGGAGGAGCTATGTACTCTGCGCGAAAGCTGACCCAGCCTCCATAAATGGAACCGAAAAGGCTCCGAACCCCTAAAGATGGAAGCTTGAAGCTATGGAGGTCAGGGGCGGAAATGTGCCAGCCTTTTACATAAGCCGCAATCTCGAACGCGAGGAGGCAGATAGAGAGCCAAAGGAAGATTTTGATGCTGAGGTAGAAGCGGCGGCGCAGAGCTGGGCTTTCGTCGGAGTCGGAATCGGTTCTTCCAGATATGACACGGCGGCGAACCGCGGAGGCGAGGCCGACGACAGCAGAGGCAAGCGAAGTGAGGCAGCCGGCCGCGCGGTGTGCTTTGAGAAGGAGAACCCAAGTGATCTGCTTCGCGTTTTTCCCCTTTCCGCCTTTCCGTGCGCCCGCAAACTCGTCGCCAACGGATATGTCTTCGTCGTCGTCAAGAGAGGAGATCTCCGAAATAGACCAGTTGGGGTTCTCCATTTTCACGATTACAGGGGTACCCCGTTGGCTCTCCTTTCCCCACCAATCGAACAAGGGAGCCATTGAAGCGGAATTTATGAAATAAAAAAAAACGGACAAAATCAAGCAAATAGGCGAGCGTCGAACAAAAAGACGGCAAAGATCCAAGCTTTGCCTTAAATCTAGCCACAGGAGTTTAAACCCCTAAAAAGCAAGATCTCGGCTTTCCAGTTTCCATCCGTGGATGAACAAATTGAACACAATGCAGTAATGCGCCTTCTCGTATCCCACTCATAGCCGTCAAGCTCTCATCTTTCTGTCGGTCGCCGCTCGGAGAATCGCTTCAAATTTCTTCTTGCGCTCATCCTCTGCTTTTATTGCCCTCAATAAAAAACCAACCAAACCAGCACACAGTACCGAATAGCTCGAGAAGCCTTCTTTAAAATAGAGGTACAAAACAAGGGCAAACAAAGCAAGGAATTTCCCTCATTTACCACCAACCTAAAGGTGATTATGCAACTGCTTAATGCTAGTTACTCAGAAAGCGACGCCCTTACAGCTGGAGATTGATGGCGATGGGAGATCGATCAAAGGCCCCTCACGAAAAAATTTTAAGCTGATTTAGGGTTTAAGAAGAAAATTAGGTAGAAATGACGCCAGGGCAAATCATTGAATCCCCGGCGAGCTTCTCATGATTCTTCTACGGATTATCCAAAGAAGACCAAAAAAATTAAACTTTTTTACAAATTTTCAGAAAACAGGTGAAGCAGAGGTAAAGGTGCCAATGGGTCCGCGAGCTTCAATGGAGGAGACGGATATAGAGACGAGAAAATCTATCGACCGTACGCTTTTCTCTTCTAAATCCCCCCAAAAAAGAAATATAAACCATGTAATGCGCTCAAAAGGTAATTACTCACTAATAACATGCTGCCACGTAGATTTTTAGGCTGGTATTTTGATTTTTTATAAATTATAATTACAGCGTAGAAATTTCTGTTGTCCACTCCTTCACCGGGTGTAAATAGAAATTTGCAGCGTGGTCAGTTGCCCTTGGATTTCATTGATACACGTGTCGATGCCTAAGTAATTTACGATAAAAATTTTTCCGAATCTTACAGAAATCAAATGCGTCGGATCGGGTAATAGTCGTCTGACTTCGTCAAGTTTTTCGTGCGGAGGACACCGACATAGTTTCGCAGAGATCGGTGAGTGGCAGTCGCGTAAATTTGTTAATCGTTTAACAGGAAGCATTGGAGATAAGGTTCGGCGGGGCCCAAGTTTCCGTATGATATTTCCATGCGGAGCCACCGCATAGTACTTGTGATTTCTGATTTTCTTTTATGTTAAAAAAAAAATTATGAACATTGGGTGAGTCCCAAGATCGAAAAAGTTTGGTAAGTTGGTAGAATTCAAAGGGTAAAATAGTAATTTTACACTGATTTGTATTTTAGAAATTTTAGGAGGGACAGGCTTAAGGTTTAAAACTTTGGCTTCAAACTCATTATAAAATTATAAGCTCCGGCAGTTGTTATAGCTTTGTCGTTTAGCGATTTAGCATTGCTTTAGGATTCGATTATTTTTTATTATTTAATATAAAATTATATTTAAGATATGAAAAAAATGTATATAGTTGATATAATACCACAAAGTTTTAATGTAACTCAGTGATCAATTTCTTGCTTTATTGACTATGCAAAAGTTTTGATAAAATTTAATTTAAAATATATGAATTTTTGACATTTTTTTATTTCATGCGAAATTTTACTAAAAGCTTATTATGCAATAGAAAATTTACATCGCTAGAGTAGAAGTTTTATATTAAACTTTTGATTAAAATTCAACTCTCATAAATAAAACTTGTAAGAGGCCAAAAAAAATTTAACATGAAAAATCCGAAAATGAACATAACCATGAGATTTGACATAGTTGAAAAGTTCACTATATATTGAAGAGGAAAGGACTATTTGAGAACAAATGCATAATTTCCCATATATGGATTAAATGAAGATATTCATAGATGGAGACTTAGTACCCAACGATAGGATTGGATCTTGACTGGAGTCTGGAAATGGGGGCGGTAATTGCTAGTTGTGGTCAATGCTCATTGGTGGTGATGACGGTTGGTGGTAGCCGTCAGTGACAATAGTTGGTGGTCGTCAACGGTGATAAATAGAAAATGCTAGAGATCTCAATAGTTCCCTCAACTATTGGCCCTTCGTATGTGCAGATAATGAGTCTCCATTTATAAGCTTTTCGAGAGAATCATTTTAATAAATTTGGTTAGAATTCAAAAATAATCTATCGTAGTGTCCATAGTGATTCCCTGGATCAAAAAGTGTTTGCTTAGAAATTAAGTACCTTAATATTGTTGGAATTAAGTGATCCAGGGTCATTGAATTTGTTTTATCAAGTCGTTTGATTTGACTATAAGCATATCTAATTTATAGATCATTTGGTCATGCAATTAAAGCCTAAACTTTCAATTATACATTAAGTGTTTTGATTTCGTCTCATTTAGGCTAGCATTGGAACACTATTGATATCATTGGGCTCGTTTTGTCGAGATGTTCGCTTCAATTATACATTTGCGGAAATTTGAGCCTAGATAATCCTGAATTTAATTCGGGAAGTTTTTAATTTAAACTTTGCCTCAATATTCATATCAATCATGCAAATTTTTCATATACATATCAAAGCTAAATGAATCATTTTTGTTTTGATCGAAACTCTCAAAATGAATCATTTTAGTTTTGATCGAAACTCTCAAAATCAGATGAAAATGTGTTCATATCTAGCACAAAGTTACAAAAAAAAAAAAAAATTGGCATTTATATAAGGATTTGGGTGGCAGCAGCCTTGTTTGGGCTGCTGAACATGATAAGAATGTGAATAAAAATTATTTCAAGCATACTATCTTTATATATATATATATATATATAAAGTGAATTTGTTGGTGTTAAAATTAAATTTAGAAATAAAATCTAATCTAACCTTTGATAAAATATTGTCTCTTTCTAACTTTGAAATAAATGAAAATCACAAGTAGAAATATTTTCTTCCTTAGAATATGATCATCATTTTTTAAATCACTATAACACATATCTAAAATTTGCATGTTCATTTTCTAATTTTAAGTATTTGTTTCTTAATTTTAATATTATTTATTTACATAAGTGAAAGCAACTTCTAAGGTTTTATTTGGGACGGCTTTCTTAGTGCTTCTTAAAGCTACTTAAAAAAAAATTGTACTAAAAAACTACTTTAAAAAACATTAAGAAAGCCGTACGTCCCAACGAGGCCTAAGCTTACGCATATAAAATTTCATTCACGCATACAAGTTTTAGAATCCTACTCTTTAGTCATTGGGCATGCATGTATGTGCATCTTTCTCCACATTTTTTGGAAGTAAAGTTCTGTTCTGATAATAAGATTTGGTTCTTTTTTTTTTTTTTTTTTTTTTTTTTTTTTTTTTTTTTTCTTCTTGTATTATCTCCTTCTCATCCTTTTCCTCCTCTGCCTTTGTTTTTTAATAAACAAAATATGAACAATCCTAATTTATGTGCATAGGCTTCTAAGAATGAAAAATATATTATTCCATATTAAAGTATTGGCAGTTCTAATCATATAAGCTTTGATTTATTATTTTAAATACCTTACTTATCTTTCTTTAGTATGAATCATAATCTTCTATATAGGTTATCTAATTTTAGATTTTATTTGGAATAACTTTTTACTATTTTTTAAAGAAACTTTTTATTATAAAAATTTTTAGATTAAAAACTTTTATACTAAAAAACTATTTTAAAAATTAGGATCTTGGCAGCTCCCTTACTGCTTCTTAAAGCAGCTTTCTAATAATAAAGATTTTGAGAGATTATGTCTGGCTTATTTGCGTGTATATTCATTGATGGATTAGAGAGGATATATGGACCAACCTCTTCGTAGCCTAGGAAAGCCTGGAGCATGCCCAAAAGAGAGAACATAGTAAACAAAACTAAGCTTCTCTTCTAATTATAAAGGCATAGATATCTCTCTTCATGATAGTGGTTTAATTTCATGAATTGAGCATAAAAGGATGGTGGTGCATGTAAACTTATTTATATATTCCTATTTTTATATAAACTATTTATTTTAATATAATTTTATAGAAGGAGATGGTGGGCAAGACCCTATAATAGTAAAGCTACACCTATCGAAGAATATCAAACCAACAATGAGTTATTTTCCAATCTCAATATGTTTATGCAAGCATAAATATTTCATAATTATATTGTTATTTTATAAATAACATTATTATTAATCTTTTATAGGATGAGTGCATATACTTCATAGAATAAGAAACTTCAAGTTCTATATGAGAGGATTTTTAAAGTTTATTATCTCAATAGTTAGATTTTAGATTATGGAGAGAAATGAAGAAAAATTTAATTTATGGAGTAGGAATCTAAAGGCATAGCTTATGTTGCCTAAACCTTTCTTACCTCTTATCGCAACTTTTTTTTTTTTTTTTTTAACGATTTTCTTACTGTTTTTTAAAACAGTTTTCTAGTGAAAAATTAAAAATTTTGTACTAGAAAAATTTTAAGTTGTAAGAAATTTGTCCCAAACGAAGCGAAATGATCCTCCAACAAGTTTCTATGATGAATAAGGATTTTCAAATGCGCATGATTTTGTGCATGATTATTATTTTTTATTATAAAATGCATTATGTAATTATGTAAATTATAAATTATTTAAAGCTAAATGGATGAAAGAACTCATAGAGCTATATTTTTTTGGCAGAAAATTTTCTAGAATTTGGGAAAAAGTTATTACAAATTGCAAACTTACATGATGATAAAGATTTTTATGAAGAGTTTAATGAATTTGATAAGGAATTTGATGATGATAAAGATGAGAGATAACATTTAAATATTATTGATAGTGAGTCATATGGTAAAAGGTTGAGCAATTAAGTATAAGCTCTTAAATTTTAACATAATTTGATAATTATCACTCTCTTTTACTTTTAATGTAATAATAATACACTCAATTATCGTACATAATCATTGTTTGTAGACTGTTGCGTCCTGGAGTATTCGCGACGGTAGAGAAATAATTAGTTTAACGTCTTAGCATTGTACGAAGATCCAGCACACAATCAGATAAGAGAGAGGGTGTAGCATTCATAAGAGACACCAGAGTTTTTACATGGAAAACCCCTAAAAAGGGGGAAAAACTATGGGGTCTGGCCCAGATTGAATGAATCCGCTAGTATTTGCAGTCGATTACAAATGAGGCCCTTCTTAGGGAGTAGGACTTGGCTTGATGTTACAAATGTATGTCATATATAGCGCATTACATGGTGGGAGTTACAATAATCAACATAGACATGTTTATTTGGTTGGAAGGGACATTGTCGACGATGGAGGTCGGAAGGACCGTAGTCGGCAAGAGACAGAGGTCAGAAAGACCGTTGTCTGGCGATGTAAGTCGGAAGGACCGTAGTCAGCAGGAGACAGATGTCAGAAAGATCGTTGTCTGTTGATGGAGGTCGGAAGGACCATAGTAGGAAACGGATGTCAGAAGGACCGTAGTCGGCAGGAGATCGGGGTCAGAAAGACCGTTGTCTGTTGATAGAAGTCGAAAGGACCATAGTAGGTGACGAAGGTCAGAAGAACCGTAGTCGGCAGGATACCGGGGTCAGAAAGACCGTTGTCTGGAGATGGAGGTCGGAAGGATCATAATTGGCAGGAGACAAAGGTCAGAAAGACCGTTGTCTCTTGATGGAGGTCGGAAGGACCATAGTAGGCGATGAAGGTCAGAATAACTGTAGTCGGCAAGAAACCGAGGTCA